AAACAACGCTATTACTTTTTTTTGCTACCTTTTTTTTTTATAACGAAACGGTAACCCGTTCGATATTTTTATACGGGTTTTTAGCGTTAAATGCTTTTATTAACTTTAATTAATATTTCGTTTTGCTTTTATCGTTAAAAAAAGGTTGGAATTTGCTGGTTGGTAAGCCCGTTATTACTAAAATTATCGTTGGTTTGGTAATTTTTAAACCGTTTATTTATCCGGTTATATTTTAAACCGCAAAAAGCGCATATTACGTTCGTAACCGGTTCGTTGCGGCGGGGTTACCGTAGCTATCCGCAACCCTTTTTATGCTTTTGCTTATATCGTTTGTTCCCGGCCCGGGCCGGCATTTTTTTTCCGTTCGTTAACGGGTATTGGCATTTCGGAAATGCAAACGAACGTTTTTTAACGGGTATTAATAAACCGCTTTAACCCAATTTTTACCCAATTCCTTATTGCAAATCCGTTTAATTTTTTTAATTTTATTTTTTTAATTTTTTATTTCCAATAACAATAAAAATTTTATTATCGATTGTAAATGCTATTGCTTTTTTGGCTTTTATTGTTTGGGGTGCTTTGGAAGCGGTTTGCGCTTTTGCGGTTACTTAAGCCCAAATTTATTTTTTATTTCCTTCGTTTGCGGCCGTAACCTGTTGCGCTTGGTCCTTTTTTTTAATATGGTTTTAATTCGTTTAAAAAATTAAAAAATTATTTAAATCGCGTTGGGGTTAATCGCTAAAATTATCGAAATTGCAATTGCTTGGTTGGTCGTTTTAACGTATCGAACAAATTTTGCAATAATTTTGGCGGCCGTTAATTTTTTTTTTTTATTAAGCAATTGGAAGTATTTTTTTGCGAATTGCATCGTTACAATAATTAATTAGGTTATTTTCGGGCTTGCGGTTGGTTTTTATCGTAATCGTTGCTAGTTCGGGTAATTCCCGTTGCGTATTGCGTGCTTCGATTGGTTAAAGCCAATAGCCTTTTCCATCGACGCCGCAACGGCGCTTCGGGGTATTATCGAGCTCGCTTAGCCCTTAAGCAAATTAGCGTTTCCGGTTTTCGTAATGGCTTTAGTTTTTTGTATGTCGTCGTCGTCGTTGCGCGCAAGCAGAAAACGTTTTTTTTGAATTAAAAGCAAAAAAAGAAAGGAATGGCTTGAAATTAAATAAAACGTTAAATGCAAAAAAATCCGCGTTATAGCAACGAAAGCGAATTTATTCCGGCCCGCAACCCCCGCAAATAAATTTAACTTTAACGGTTTAATGCTAAAAGCATATTAAAAATTTACCAAAGCCCAAAGCGCAATAGCCATTTAATTAAAACGGAAAAATTGGGATTAAAAGCGTTTTTTTGGAATAAAAACGTTTCCAACGTGCATACGCCCCGTTGCCCGTGTAAAACCGGGCAACGGGAAATAGCATTTTATTTATTTGCTAAATGCTTTTTTTATGTTAAGTGGAAAACAAGTTCGGGCTAGGAAAATATAAATTACCGCAAAGCATATTTCGAATAATGGCAATAAAAAATAAGCATTATTACCGGAATCGATACAAACCAAAACGGCCTTTTTTTGCCCCCCCTTTTTTTATTAACAGCACGTTTGGCAATTAAAACAAGCAAATTTAACGATTTTAAAGTAATAAAGAAAAACGATCGATTAAAAACGCAAACGTTAAAAGAACGAACCGCCCCAAACAAATAATTTAACGTTAAATTAATAACCAAATATAATTATTTTAACCACTAACCCAATATAAAAAAGCTACAATTACACGCCCAACCATACTTAATAATATCCAGCAGCAAATTCGGGAACAAATTGTTGCTTTACATATTTTAGCGCGTACGGATTCTTTCCCGCGCTATTTTCAATACCCGATCGAAAAACGCTAAATTATTTTTATTATTACTTTGCTTTATAACCGTTATATTTAATTACTTACATAAATTAAAAAGTGCAAAAACAACAAAAATAATATTATTACCGAAAAGGAACCGGCATTTACCAATTATTAAGCTTGCGCAAAAGCAAATTTTTTAATTTTTAAGTTATTAACGATTTCCGCAGCATCGTTAGTACGCAATAAAGCGTTAAAAGCTTTTAAAGCGTAAAAAACAAAGGTTTAAAGCACCGATATTATATTACCGGAAAGGGACCGTACGAATTCCGAACCAGCAATACCGGTATTTATAAAAACCCCGGTGCCAAAAAAAAAAAGCATTTAAAAACGGTTAAAAGCAAAATTAATACCGGTAAGTATTTTGAATTTGTTAAGCCCGTTTTTATTAGTACGCCGGAACGTGTAAACCTTAGTAACTAATGCGTTATAAGCCGCTTAATACCGTACCATACCGTTAACAAACCGATAAAGCATAAGGAATCGATAAAATTAAAGTAATTTATTAAATATTTACGGCAATTACTTAACCCAAAATTGCGCATATCCTTAACTTTAAAAAGCGATTGGTAATATTTAGCAAAAAGTACGGCCGCAATACGAACTTTTTTAATAGCAACGGAATAAAGTTAAAAAAAACACGTTAACGACCCGGCCAAATAACGAAAAGGAAAAAGGAAAAAATAATTTATCGTATTATACCAAATGTTCCAATTGGTACAAAAACAATAAAATAATGCGTTCGTATTTGGAAAAACCAATAAATTAACAAATAAAAAAATTACCCAAAATTATAAAAAAAACGAACCAATTTTAAAATAATAAATTGCAATTTTGCCAAACCGCTTTTTTTTGCTTTACTTTTTACTTAAATTATTAAACAAATAATTAATGCAATTTACGCAAATGTTACGCGCAAAATTAAATAATTAGCCGGAACGTAAACGGGAAAAAAACGAAAAAAGCATTTACGTTATTCGATAATAAAGCAAAATGCTTTTAAGGATTTCCGTTAAAACGTTTATCGCTTTGCAAGTTATAAATTTGTATCGTTAAACGAAAAAATTAAATTAAAATAAAAAAATAAAAATAATTTAACGGCAAAAAATAAAAAAAAACGAATTATATAATTAGCGTTAACCCGCGCGTTGCCGCCGTTATTGTTATTAGCGTTAAAAAAACCGTTATTGTTATCGGGCATTTTTACCGGAAAAGTACGGGAAGCGGGCCGGGCAAAAAAAGCGTTAAAAGCAATGGGATCGGAAAAAGGAAAAGCAACAATTGCTATTTAATTATTATTACAAACGCCGTTACCGTTGCGGTTAACGCGTTTAACAAAATTGGTTTTAGCCGTACTTTTTTTTTAAAAAAACCGTTAATTAATATTGCAATTAATTAAAATTAAAAATAAAATTGGAAATGGCCAAAAACGAAAGGAAAAAAAATATAACCAAATGCCGGAAATAAAAAGCGCGCTAAAAAAAATTGGAACGATAAAAATTAACCGGAAACGATGCGATAAAAAAGTAACGGTTAAAAAAAAAAAGACATTGTACC